CCACTTTGGGTCCTGGCAGGGGACATCCAGCCCCTGTCACCCCACATGACGGGGTCAGAGCCCACTTTGGGTCCTGGCAGGGGACATCCAGCCCCCATCACCCCACATGATGGGGTCAGAGCCCACTTTGGGTCCTGGCAGGGCACTGCCAGCCCCCATCACCCCACACGATGGGGTCAGAGCCACTTTGGGTCCTGGCAGGGCACTGCCAGCCCCCATCACCCCACATGATGGGGTCAGAGCCCAGTTTGGGTCCTGGCAGGGGACATCCAGCCCCCATCACCGCACACGATGGGTCAGCACCACTTTGGGTCCTGGCAGGGCACTGCCAGCCCCCATCACCCCACATGATGGGGTCAGAGCCACTTTGGGTCCTGGCAGGGGACATCCAACCCCTGTCACCCCACACGATGGGGTCAGAGCCCAGTTTGGGTCCTGGCAGGGGACATCCAACCCCCATCACCCCACATGATGGGCTCAGCTCCCACTTTGGGTCCTGGCAGGGCACTGCCAGCCCCCATCACCCCACATGATGGGCTCAGCTCCCACTTTGGGTCCTGGCAGGGCACTGCCAGCCCCCATCACCCCACACGATGGGGTCAGAGCCCAGTTTGGGTCCTGGCAGGGCACCACCAGCCCCCATCACCCCACACGATGGGGTCAGAGCCTACTTTGGGTCCTGGCAGGGCACCACCAGCCCCCGCCACCACCGTGTCCCCTCAGGGCCGGTGTGCGGCCAGAGATGTCCCCACACACGGGTGGCCGCACGGTGACACCCGCGGTGACACTCGCGGTTGTTTACAAACACCTCCCTCCCCTCGCAGCCCACCCCCGGTACCGCCGGGAAGCGCTGAGGGGAAAATGGAGCTCAAGAGGTCCCGGTATCGGGGGGAAGCGCTGAGGGGAAAATGGAGCTCAAGAGGTCCCGGTATCGGGGGGAAGCGCTGAGGGGAAAATGGAGCTCAAGGGGGTCCCTGTACCGGCGGGAAGCGCTGAGGGGAAAATGGAGCTCAAGGAGGTCTGGGTACCGGCGGGAAGCGCTGAGGGGAGATTTGGGCTCAAAGGGCTCAGGGGGTCCCGGTACCGGCGGGAAGCACTGATGGGAAATTTCGGCTCAAAGGGCTCAGGGGGTCCCGGTACCGGCGGGAAGCACTGATGGGAAATTTCGGCTCAAAGGGCTCAGGGGGTCCCGGTACCAGCGGGAAGCCCTGAGGGGACAGTGGGGCTCGGGGAGCCTCGGCAGCTGTGGCGGCCCCGGGAATCTCTGAGGGAGTGGGGGCAGACCGCGGGTCTCGGGGGTCCCGGTACCGGCGGGAAGCTCCGGGAGGAGCTGAGGGGACAGCGGGGCTCGGTGGCTGCGGGAGGATCTGAGGGGACGGGTGAGGACCGGGGGGACTCGGTACCTGCGGGAGGATCTGAGGGGACGGGTGAGGATCGGGGGGGCTCGGTGGCTGCGGGAGGATCTGAGGGGACGGGTGAGGACCGGGGGGACTCGGTACCTGCGGGAGGATCTGAGGGGACGGGTGAGGATCCGGGGGGGCTCGGTACCTGCGGGCGCCTCCGGGAAGCGCTGAGGGAGCGGGAAGGGGGAGCTCGGGGGGCGGCCCCGGGAAGCGCCGGGCTCGAGTGGCGGCGAGCTCGGGGGGACGCTTGGGGGGTCCCGGTACCCCCGGGAAGCGCTGAGGGGCTCGGGGCTCCCGGTAACTGCGGGAATCTCTGAGGGGTTCGGGGTGGTCACTCGGGGGGTCCCGGTGATACCTCTGAGAGGCACTGAGGGGCTCGGGGCGGTCACTCGGGGAATCTCTGAAGGGCTCGGGGCGGTCACTCTGAGGGGCTCGGGGTGGTCACTCTGAGGGGCTCGGGGTGGTCACTCGGAGAGCTCGGGGTGGTCACTCTGAGGGGCTCGGGGTGGTCACTCTGAGGGGCTCGGGGTGGTCACTCGGGGGTCCCGGCGGTCACTCGGGGAATCTCCGAGGGGCTCGGGGCGGTCACTCGGGGAATCTCTCAGGGGCTGGGGGTGGTCACTCGGGGGGCTCGGGGCGGTCACTCGGGGGTCCCGGCGGTATCTCGGGGAATCTCCGAGGGGCTCAGGATGGTCACTCGGGGGGCTCGGGGCGGTCACTCAGGGAATCTCTCAGGGGCTGGGGGTGGTCACTCGGGGGTCCCGGCGGTCACTCGGGGAATCTCCGAGGGGCTCGGGGCGGTCACTCGGGGGTCCCGGCGGTACCTGCGGGCGCCTCCGGCGGTCCGGGCGCGGCGGGCGCGGGGGGCGGCGGCGGCGGCGGCGGGAGCGGGGCCGGGGCCGGCCCGGCGAAGATGTCGGGGGGCCCTCGGTGCCCGGCCAAGAGCGCGGCGGCAGCGGCGGCGGCGGCGGCGGCGTCTTCCTCCTCCTCTTCCTCGTCGTCCTCCTCGTCGTCGTCCTCCTCGTCCCCCTCGGACACCGCCATCTCCTCCTCCTCCTCCTCGTCCTCCCTCAGCGGGGACGCCATGGCCGGGTGAGGGGCGGGGGGCCGGGGGGACCCTCGGCGTGCGCCGCTCCCACCGCCCCAAACCGCCCCCGCCGCCGAGGCCGGGGGGGCTCGGTGTGAGGGGAAAGTGGGGAGGGGGCGGGACGGGGCGACCCCCCCCGGGCCGGGCCCGGCGGGGCCGCGCGGGGGGCGCGGGGGGGGCGGCGGCGATGGGTTGAAAAACGCCCGGATCGGTTAAAATCGCCTCAGGGCGCGGGAGGCGCCGGGCGGCGGGACGGCGCCGGCAGCGAAAATGGCCGCCCCGGGTGTAATTTTAAAATAAACCCCCCCCCCCCTTTCAACACACACACACACA